TTTTAAAATAGTTTTTATTATAGACAATATACTTAATATTCCAAAACAACAATTGAAATGAGGAGGCAACATTTTCAATATACTGTACCTCCCACCTGTGTCTCATTATTATCACCCTGAAGGATCACATGTTCTGGTCATATCATTGGAAACAGGACCATAAGATGACACATATTTGGAATAATGAAGTCTCAGTAAAGCTCGTTATAGTGAAAAAAGGTAGACCTTGAACTCTAGTGCAAGGAGAAAGTGAAGCCATTATATCGCATAATGGTAAATGAACACCCCCCTTCACTGAGTTTGTTCCATGTCCCCTTGACATTTATTGAAATTGAATATATTTATACACACCTTTTTTCTGTTTGACCAATAAATTTGCTGCATACATCAGCATCAGTCTTTGGAAAATCCAATTTGAATGATTATGAGTGAACAACTGATTTAAGAACTATTAAAAATTGTATACTGTATCAAACATTGCCATATAAACTGCGTGATGATATTGAGGAGCCCTAGGGTGACATAAGGGTGAGCATCTTGGTGGTAAAAAGTGATTGCTTGGTGCTGGTGCTGAAAGCAGGAGTGTTATTTGTTTGACAGGTTTGAGTGTGGGTGAAGAAAAACAGCCCTATCCCCATTCTCCTCTTCATCACTCCAGTTACATACCCACTCTCTGTTGTTATGTCTGCAGGCTAAAACTGGAGACGCGTTCAATGCTTTTTTCATTTGCAAAACAAAAGAAGAAAATTAACGCCCCAAACCCTCTTGCTTGTCCAAGTTTAGTTCTGTACGCCAATGTTACTTTTTCTCATGCAGCAGTTTAACCAGACCTATATGGACGCAAACTGTGCAATCACTTGACTATTGTTCAGCTTCAGGTGGTATTATAATACTCTATAGATGTTTAATGTTTAAAGAATCAAATTATTTTACCTTTCTACCATGTTATAGCATTCCATCATCAAAAACATGCCTGATGAGGTTTTAAATGTCATCCATGCATTGTGTCAGTAATTTAGTGATCTCTCCCGGGTCTTAATTCAACCCTCCTTATGGTTCGTTGTAAGGTTCTGTCCAGTGCTCAGCCCACAAAGCCATTCTCCATAAATATACAGAAGCATGATGCAAAACTTTACACAGCAATTTGATGAACCTGATGTGATGTGCCGTAGTTCATTTAGCGGGATGCATGCTGATTATGTTGTGATAGCGCTCTGAAGGTGGAGATGAGGATGGAGGGGGAACACAGAGTAGAACAGAGGTGAAACTTATTAAAAACATGTTAATATGCTGCTTTCGGTGATTAGCATTTTCAAAACAATACAAGATAACATTGTGATCTAGTGATGTTATGTGTTATATGTTAGCAGTTAATACCCCATAGTAAAATATATGTAAAAACAGAAGTAAAATACCCCCTCTTTAATAGAGACGAGGATAAGATCAAATGAGAGAGAGTGAGATAGTTAGAGATAGAGAGAGAGAGTCTTTATTGATTATGATTTTATTGATTTACATGTTCCTTATAGTTTAGTTTAGTGGCCTGATCCTGGAAGCTTGGATGGGAGACTGCCAGGTGCCACGGGGGCACAGCATGTGGTACTTTTGCAAACTGTCATTGTGTACTTTGGCAAGACATCTGCCTTGCTCAGTAAATGCAGCGTGTGATTGGTGGTTGGAGAAGCCGACAGGGCCTCCCTTCAGTTAGTCTGCACACCATGGCAACTGTGACTCTGATAGTAGCTTACCACCTTCGAATATGGAATGAATGAAAAATGCACAAAATTGTAAACTGACTTTGAGCATCTGGAAAAGAGCTACAAAAGTATAACACATTATTATTACAATTAGTTAATTCTTATGATGAAAACACAATATAATCAATGCAGGAAAAACAGCTGCCTGCCCCCATCTGAGAGTGGTGCCTTGGATTTATAGAGCCTTTCAAGGTACTCAGAGTGCTTTACAATGCCTTATTCATTCACTGCATACTCGATGCTGGAAACTTGGGATAGACTAATGGAACAAAGGTTGCCAATCTGCGTCATTGGACCAAATTCATACAGTGGAAGTGTCTTGCCCTTGGACACAACAGCAGTAACATGTACATTTGTTATGAAGATTTACTTTTAAAGGTGCACTATGTAACTTGTTGGTTGGAGGTCCATCACTTGCTTGTTTCTATAGATATGTCATTGCTCTGCCTTGAATGTTCCACAGTATGGCATTAAACAGGTCTATCTTACATTTATTCTACTATAGGTGATTTTATAACTCAAAAATACCTAGAAAAAAAGGCATTCTGACTGTGAGTGGAGTCATCTCTCCACAGATCTGACCTGTTAGTTGGTCTGGTTTGGCATAAAGATACCATACTGTAAGGCATTCCCGAGAAAGCAATAACATCTTCATGCTGAAAAGCATTTGATGGACCCAAAGTTACACAATACATCTTTAAGAGCCAAAGTAACATTGCCTTGTTGTGGACAAATATATTTATTAAAGATTCGGACTTAATTTCTCAATCTAATCCTGTTTTAATTATAATTTGTATGAACTGATTATAAATTAGGCAACTACAACTGAAAGTGGCTGTTACCACTTAAAGAAATAATGCAACACAGATCATATACTGCTCTATTGTGTTGCATAAGAACTAATCTCATCTTCATTTCATATTCACTATTGTCAAGGGCTATCTATATCTTTCTATTTTTCTGTTCTTTCCTTTCAAACTTGCTGTCAGTGGTACGTTAAAGCATTAGAGATTTTTCCACTGGCCGATCTTAATGCAATCTATTTTAGAGTAAAAAGGGGTCATGCAAAGTGCCACATTTGACTGACATGCAATTATGTCAAGGTAATTGTGATTGGTGGTCACTTAGCAACGTCTTACAGTAGCCATAGCATCAGAAGTAAAAAATGGTAATCATCTAAATGTAGTTCTGCTATTGATCGAGTATTTTTGGGGAAAAGCCTATCAAGAATGAGAAATCTTGGTCATCTTAGTAGAAATTGTGTTTATTACTGACAGCTTGCTGAAAGAAGCAAGGCCAAGTAGGGTAAGCTAACGCCATGTAATATAACATGAATATTCTCCCATTTTTACTTATTTTTAATTACTTAAAGGTGCACGTGCAACTTATCTAGTGCTGGGTCTGCCACCTGCTTGTCTCCCTGGAGATGTTATTGCTTTGCCTAGAATGTTCCACAGAATGGCAATAAATATATATATGTCCACAGAAACTAGCAGGTGACACCCCCAGGCCAAGTTACAGATAAGAATAGTGGAACAGGCGAGTCTGTTCAAGTAAGAATGGATTTTGTGAGCCAGGCAAAAAAGAAAAAAAAGGTTAATTACATACCATGCCATGGAACAATTGCTGCAAAGAAAATGCATCTTGAAGGAGCCAAGCAGAACATCACAAGAAAAGTGACACAGCGCAACATTAAAGGAATGTATTTTTGAATAAATATTTATTGTCACCTAATTTCTCTTTTGTTTACAAAGAGACACTATAACTGTGTACTTAACTGTATATTGAGTATCTATCTAGATGAAATATTGCAAATTGTGGGTGTAAGATTAAAATAAGATATGCTTCTTCCTACTCCTTTTTTGAAGATTTAATGTTTTTAACTTTTTTTTTTCTTTCTTTTTCCATAAATGTACCTGTTGAAATTGTGAAGATTATATGTTGTGCTTTCTTACATAAAAAAAAAAATCAAATAAAGTAACTCTAACTGTATAATGCTTACCTTTTAATGTCCAGTTGTTGCTTTATAACAAGTTTCTTTAATTCCTTGAAGGATATCACTATAATGTGGGTCCTACGACAGACTGTTATCACTAAGGGAATCATTGTATTGTGTGTATATGTCCACCCACCCCTGTCTCTTCTACATTCAAACAAAGAGGCATAGTAAGACAGAACAAATAGTTTTGTTCTGTATGTTCTGTAATTGGATTAAATTGGATTAAAATACTTTAGATGACTCCAAATACCTCAACTAATGCAATCTAGTACCATGCTGTGTGCTATTATTAGTCCGAATTGAGGATGAAAGCATGGGGGTATTTTTGAGCTGCGCTGCTTTTTCCTGCTGCTAGCCCCCTCCCACATATTTCATTCTGCCTGTGCCAGCAAATCCTCCCGGTCCCTTCACTAACACCTCTCCACCGAGCTGAAAAGGTGAAATTATTAGCACCTGCAAGAGCATATTTATACATCCAGAAAAGCAATTAAAAACAAATAACCTGGGTGCCATTCTCAGCCTCTGAATCTAAAAGTGAAAAGAGGCTGTGACTGTGCAACTTTGAGCGAGAATTAATGATGAAATTTGATGCAAGGTGGAAAGCAGTTTTATACAACTTTGTATATCAGATTACAGCACACACTGAAAATAATAGCCACTTTGTTTTGAAAAAATACCTGTATTATTTTATAGAACTGAGTTGAGTCGAGAATGAAAAGTGGAAGTTAAAACCATAATTTCAAACATTCCCATTCAAAATAGTTATGTTTATACCTTACTGTGGAATATTATAGTGGAAGGCCTATTTTCATGTCAGTCCTATAAGGTTAGGTTTGTGGAGTCAGGTTTGTGGAGATCCAAGCACACTCACATTAATGATGATAAAAACATCCAGTACTTTTATTCAAAAATATTTATGTACTTTCTTTAGTTTACTTTTAAACACAAGACATTCAAAGAGATTTTTCTTTTTCTAGATTTTTCTTAAATCTTCACTTGGAAAGGACTGTGGATGGCGAGAAGAATTTAATAGGTTTTCAACTAAATTACTAATAGCATTCCTTAAACGGTTCAATGTCAATATTTCAGATTAATAACTAATTAGAAAAAGCCAACCATTTATCATCAACAAACTGAAAAAAAAAAAAAAAAACTCAACTCACTGTGCCTGTTTTTATTGCGCGCTTCATCCCTGTTTATTACGGTAGCCGTGCGCTCCATGTGCTCGGTGAACATTACGGTAACAGGCGCCTTCTTGGAGTGTGCATCTGCCGCGGCTTGTGTGAAAGCTCGCAGCGCTGCGATGTGCCTCCAGTCTGTCCACTCCGCTTCTTTCTGACGGAAAACCCGCCAAACTCTGGACTACATCTCCCGGTAAGTTTAACAAAAGCATAGATAGTGAGTTATTTTCGTTTTTTCTTTGTTTCTGTTTATGCTCCATTTGGCGCTGTTTGGGGATTTTTTTTGGAGAGTTGGCGAAACGTGAACTGTCCGCGAAGATATGTCACTACAAGCGTCTTTATAAGTTAACATTTAGCATACTTTGGGAGTCTTCTTTTCACATCTGCTTCTGATTTGAGCAAAATGAGGCGAAAAAGTACACAGTGGTGTTAGGATCGGTTTACTTCAAGTCAAGGAGGCAAAGTTAATTTCTCCAATCTTGGTTCATTACACGCTACCTGCTTTTACGCAAAGTGCTGTTTTTGTTTGATGTAATCGTGTTTAAGTAAAACTCTCAAGTACATGTGTTGTGGACTTATTTGACTGTAGAAAGCTAGTCACATTCGAAATTTTCACAAGTTTGTAGTCGGTAGCTGCTCGTTTTGCTTCTTTGTGCTCTATTTACCCCTCCTTTTTTGATGCACGATTCAGTTATCTGCAGAAACAATAGAATTTAATTATGTATTAGTGCACTGTCTAACATATCTCCTTTCTTGTTATTTTATCTGATCTTTTATCTCCTTGTTATAATTGGACTCCAAGTGAGACTATGCAATGAATTATAAAATAAGATGTCTCCCATTGTGCTTTTTATAGAAAAGGATTTAAAATACTGTAATCAAATATGCAAATGAAAAGTGCAGAAATGGATGCTAGTCATTTCTGGGGTTCTTTCAGAGTTAACTTTAATTCTTGCTGTGTCTAGGCCTGCCCTGCTCTCCTGCTGACTCAAGGAAGGTTGTAATGTTATTCTTGGCCCCTTTTCACCAAAACACATGTTAAATAAGTACATTTCTTCTTTGTTGCATGGACATAAACAAAAATAATGAGGTGTTGGTGTTTCTGTCAATGCATCGCTTAGCAGCAGTAACGGTGTTTTTTACATCTAATTGCCTTGTGATCAGGAGTTGACATTTCATCCAAGCGTTGTGGGCGGGCAGAGGATCATAATTGGCCAAAGAAACATGAAATAAACCTCCCTTCTGTGTTGTGCCCAAATGACAGGCAGTGAGTTTGGAGCTTTCTTTTTGAATAAAATTGTTGTGTAGTGGGCAGCGATGAAGGCTTGTCAGTCCTCTTGTGGTTTTTGCATTTGAGACTGTTTTGTTTTGTTGAACAGCAAGAGAGCATACAGAGATGGCAGTGATTATGTCTACAAAAGAGGGCTAGTGTTGGATTAAAAGAAAGCAGAGGAAGGTTAAAATGATGCTGAGTGTCGAAAAGAAACCACTGAAATCTGTAAGAGAAGATAGTTGCCCTTTGTTCACTGTCTTTCTATGGCTTTTTATAATTTTTTTTTGTTTTCATTTTCTCTCAGTTTTGAAAGCGATTACATTTGCAGTTTAATGTTTTTAAATTAAGTGGCTCACAACACACAATTTAACACATCCAAGAGCATGAACATTTGGAAAATACTGAATAATGAACAGCTACAGAGGTCTAATCAACCAGGTCAGCAGGTTTTATGTAATAGGCTTAAGAAGACTTTTGATATTTTGTTTTGGTTTTTGTTGAGGACATTATATCACCTAAAAATAGTGTTTTGCCATTTGCAACCATTCAAATTGCAATTCATGTGTGATTAATGTTTTAAGCCAAGTGACATTCTCTAAAATGACATATCAAAAGCTAAATAAAAAGATGGTCCATGGTATAACTGCCTCAATCAACTCAAAATTGCAAGTTGGTGCAATTATTAATAAATATTTCATAGTATGTCCTCTGCTAAGAACAAAATACCCTGTCTTTACCCAGTAGTTTAGACCCCTCCTTAAATTCATGGGATTCTTGTATATTTTTAACAGTTCACATTTCAGCGCTCTCTCAGAGGTAATGCTCCTGGAATTGTTTACTTTGTGCACTCTGAACTCTAAATCTTTCTTTTTGAAACTTCTATCACAAATCTAATGTTAATACTCCCCAAACCGTGTAGCCCTCACCTGAAGTCAAATCAAAGCCAGTCCTTTTGAATCAGAGTGATAGATATTGCTGCTGTCAGCACTGTAGCACTCTTTACCTTTTCAATTCACAAGTGGTTGTAGCAAATAGGTCAGATCCATCCTCGCGATGACCTTTTCCACTGTTTCCTTTATTATGATTGCTTCTTTCTGTGCTATACTGTCACTCTGCTTGAACCTTCAAAACCCTATTCCTGCCTTTTTCAGGCTTGTTAGCTCCCCTTAAAGCTCCCTGGCAAAACATATGTCTGCATATGTCTGCATATGGCAAATAAGGCTGGTTTCTTGTCAAATGGATATCTTGTTATGTTTTGAATGGTTTCCTCAGTGGAGTAATACCAGTCATCTAAGTGTGATTTTATACCCAAATGCTTGACAAGTTGTTGAGTTAAGCAGGTCTCTTAGCACACCAATGGGACTTCACATTGACACATGTAGGCAGTGATGCAACTTGCAGCTCTAGGCGGTCCCACAGGTCCCCCGCACGGCTCTTGGCATGCTGGGTAACCAAAACAGATGGTGACCTCCTTTTTTCTGCTTTTTAACCCTCGTCTGATTAATTAACACCTCAGATTAACAGTACGTAGATGACAGAAGTTAAAGGTATTTATAGTCATGTGAATTTGCTGACCATTTGTGTTTGTACTGAGGGAGAAGAGAAAGACGGTGGAAAGAGTAACCACCTACCACTGTCAGGGGTTAACACACAATATGTGAAAATTGGAAAACTAGAACTGGACCAGACCTGGACCAGGCTTAACCAGTACAAAATTAGTTGAGTACAAAACCATGCTAAACTAGAAAAGCACTCAGAGAGGGCAGACCTCCGCCAAGGACTACAGTCCCCCTCATATTAATTGTGTTTTCCATAAATATTTGTCTCGTATCTTTCAATTTGGAATATGAAAGAGGATCCCATTGTCCATCCCTGTGTCAAATTTCATGGGGTTTGGTCAATAATTAACCGAGATATTGAGAAACAAAATTTTTGGCCCCATTTACCACAATGTTAACTAAAATTTCAAAGTGATCCAGAATCCAGGATTTCTTCCGGATCACCCCCAAAATGAAATCAGTTCTTCCTTTTCACATTTCCAACAAATCCTGAAAATTTCATCAAAATCGGTCCATAACTTTTTGAGTTATGTTGCTAACAGACAAACAAACAAACAAACAAACAGACAAACGCCAGCAAAAACATAACCTCCTTGACGGAGGTAATAATCAAGACGGTCAAATGAGGACTCATCTACACTAGGTCTAAACCAGGGCTATTCCAAAACTTAATCAGGACTAAAGGACGAAAAACTCAAAAACTAAACAGGAAATGAATGGACTACCAACAATGAAACTGGATCACAATATGAGAACGAACATCTTGTGACAGTAATATTTGTGTAATATTACGTTTCTGTTTTATTATTTTATTGGATGATGCAAACCAGGATTACAGGCCTGTGAATCATTTCAGATATTGCATTGTAGCTCATATCCAAATCACACTTGATGTAGTCTTAAAATAGTAGGCTATCAAATGCAGTCTGTAATATCATCTTGTGCTCTGTCTCTGGGGACCACTGTGAACTATTGCAATACCCTTTTTTTAGATCGTTTTTTTGTCCTGGCATCTGGATTTCTAATTTCCTTTTACATTGTGAATGAGGGGTCAGTCAATGTAGTAATGACTTAAGAACAGATGTGCTCCTGTGTCTCTATATAGGACAAGATTACAGAGGCTAGGTCTAGCATATGTTGCTGTTTCCACCCACTGTTTTTATTACTGCCACTGATGATGTCCAGTTCATTGATTATACTGAAGAAAAGAGCTAGCTATCGGATTGTCTTGCAATGGAAAATACTGTGAGAGACTATTTTTGGTAACTAATTTTTCCACTGATCCTCAGAGCAGCCCACATGATATAAATGTTTAATGACCATCTCTGTTTTATGGTAATGTTCCATAACATCTTGTGTTATCGTGACTTTGACTTCAATGTATCCTTTCTCTCCTCCTTAACATAACAATGTGAGTTAACAAATCAGCCTCCCTTCCAATGCTTCATGGTTCCACGGTGCTTCATGGCTTGTCCTCAGATATCCCTATATGTGTGCAAATGTAATTGTAATTTAATCTAATAATATTTAGCTTCACTAAAACGTGCATCTTTTTATGTTTTGCAGTTTAACGTTTGTACTGGGAAATAAAGGATTATAGCTGGTTGCACGCTCTACATCTTTGGAACGCAGATTTGGAGAAAGGAATACACTTTGCCTCTGACATCTTCTGAACTCTGTAAGTTGTTTTCTTACTCTAAATATTAAAATAAGTCTGATTTTTATTTTATTTTTTTTGCACATCATAACGATTACCACAGTCTAGCTGTCTCATTAGGTATAGACAGACATCCCCCGGCGAACAGCAGCCCTTCAATCACCTGTAACATTTGCAGTCCTCAGGTTAGCGACCTCCGTGTAACCTTTCAGCAGAGGGACTCGGTTCATAAAAAGAAGAAAAAGCCCAAGCTGAACACCCTGACAGAAATGGAGGCATTATCTCCCAGTAGGTACACCCTATTCACTGAGCACCACAGCTCTAAAATCTCATTTCTGTCTTTTTCTATTTTCACATTATTTTTAGAATCACCTTTGACTAAACCTCAGATGAGTTACTTTGTTGTATCACACTAACCACACTACAACCTGATGAACAATGAAAATATAGATATTATACTAAACATATGTTTATTTATACGTTTTATTCTCATGTGCTACTAATGTTACCAATACAATACCTTAATACTGAAACGATGTGATCTGATTAATAATTTGTCCCTAAGAACATCGCTTTTCTCTGCAATCCTGGTATTAATTTTTAACATGGAATTCTGAATGTCTAGCCCCAAGTGTGACATCTCCAGTATTATTGCCTCAGTTGGAAGAATCTATAGGTACCATTAAAATTACCTTGGTACAAATGGCAGTATGCTGAATGTGGTGGAGAGTCGAAAAAAATTTGATAATATGGTATTTTTTGCAGTTTTTGAGTTTAAGTATAGTGTCGGTAAAAAGCTGTAAAATTAGTTGACTGAAGATGAAAAAACTTACAACGATTAGTTTGGGACAGTAAAAAAATAAACAAAAAACACTTACGGCAATTTTCCTATTCATTAAATATATACAGAGGTATAATCATAGGAAGCATTGCACCATATTTGTCCTTGTTGGAACAATGACCCTTTAGTGACTTCCTGTTTTGATGAAGACGATAAAGGAGTGAATGAGTGCTTCTATTTCGATGTGCTCAAAAACAAGTACAAGTATGCGTTTTTGCAAAGGCTCGAGCTCCTAACATGGATACTGCATTCAAGTGTGAGGGAGCAGGGACGCTCATTAACTCAAAGCACACATCTGGCTACAAGCAGCCACTTATGGTCCACTCCCTTCATATCTGTGCATATGTTGTTACCGGGCTTGTTGATTCCCTAAAATACACAATATTTTTTAAAGCAGACCTAATACGCAAAAATAACTTGTTTATAGGTTTTAAACATGTTGAACTTGTTTCCCCTCACCATTTGCGCTCTCAGAGTTGTATTTGGAGTGATTTGTGCATATTTGAGCAATCGCTAATCGCTTAATTTCAAGACGCCATATTTGCCATATTGCCATCCCCTGGTACATGCCCATTTCACTGTACTTATTATGTTTTCCAAATTAATTTTCTTAATGAGTCATTGAGTGATACATGTAGGAGCCTGCTGCGTTGCATAGTCATTTTGGTGCAAATGATGCTTGCCAGTGTGATCTACAGCTGTGCATCGGAGGTGCTGACTCTTTGTTGTGATGATGTTTATGGCGACATCAGCCTATTTTGAAATGTGAAAATGATAACATAATGATCCACAAGTGTCATAGATCATAACTATGTGGCAGACACAAGCACAATAGGTCTTCTTTAATGTCTATGAATCATTTACACTTAACTTTTTGGGAAATTCAGGAATGGGCATGGTCTTTTCTCAGTACTCTGTCCCCCACATGCTTTACACTTGTCCAAAAACAAATATCACTAGCAAATTACCAGCAATTCTGTTGGCACCTCAATTATTGATGAGGTCAGAGGAGAATGCCCTGGGTGCACTGGGAAAATAGAAAGGCAACAGTAATTAAAAACAACCAATGCACAATAGTAGGACTGCAGCGGTTTATTATAATAATTGTGATAATAATTGACAATTAAATTAGTCAACGATTATTTTAATAATCGTTAATCCAAACAGATACTGAAACACATGCCAAGTGACAAGTTGTATAATGAGGACAGTAGCATTATTAAATCAAAATGTTAAAGCAGACCTATTATGCAAAATTGACTTTTCTGATTTATAGTTGTTTCCCCTCAGCATTTACTCACTTGAAGTTGTACTTGAAGTGATTTGTGCATGCTTATCCATCGTTTATCACTTATTTTCAAGATAAATTTAGCTATTCAAACCTTATTTTCATCACCATTAGTATGCACCCTTTTCTCTATACTTACTTACTCCTGCAAGTTTATTTTCTTAATTGATGATACATGTAGGATTTGGCAGCATTGTGTAGTAATTTTGGTACAAATGAAGAAAATTCTGAAGCTTGTGATGTGCAATTATCCATCGGAGGTGCTGACAATGACCATGCTCTTACGTTAAATTTCAGTATATAAAAATAGATGCCACCTTCATGCTGTCCAAAGTGATTGACAGCTATCGCATGAATACATCTTAATGCTTTAAAATGCACTTGACATATTCAGTGCTATGATCTCATATTCACATTCATATAGTTACCAGCAGGCCGCAGACTGGAGGAACTTTGTGTTGTAATCAGAGACCTCTGAGTAGCAGACGTCGGGTTTGACCTCTTTTCCAAAGCTTCTGCAGCTGTTTGACAAAGGTTTTCTTTGTAAAGCTTTTTTTGATTCTACTGCTCATGGCTTGATGTACATACTGTTACCAGGCTTTGGCTTTTTTCCCCAAAATAAAGTTTCAATTTTTTTTAATGTATTTTTGTTATAAGTCTCTTAGTAAATGTAGTACCTAAAGTCTTCCTTGGTTTTCAGATCTCTTGAATTAAGAGAAAAATGTATTTGGCCAAAATCTTTATTTTTACCAAAAATTATTTAATGAGTTCATTAAAACAAAATAATCTCTTTTCAGAATTTCTGTACAAATTAAATTCACAATAATAAGAGTTGAGAGGAATGACTAAAACAGAGGCCAAATGGGCTAGTAGACAACAAAGGTTTAGCTGATTAGTGGTCTGCCTGTGGAGCTGGACGTCATCCATGTCGTGTCCTGTGCAGGGATTGATCTGCCTCTGGCAAAGGTTGAATCTCATTTGTTTCTGTGTAAACTCAGCTGAGCCCTCATGGCATTTGTGGAGCTCTCTGGAAACCTGATTAGCAAGTTGCGTGGGTGAAGTCGCGTCTTCCAAGAGGCGACATTCTCATATCCCAAAGATGGTTGACGCATTCGGCAGGATTTGGATATTTTCAGGACTGAAAACTTATGGGCAAATACAATGTTTTTTTTTTACAGTCCACTACATTTTCTATCCTTGAGTGAGTGTAGTGTAGTGTAGTGTAATGTAATGCAATTGGCTTGAGTTTTTATGACTGATTACAGACTGCATTTGAACTTTGACTGTTGAGACATGATTAAGAGCTGTGCTTTTCGGATGGAAGGGGATTTCCCCACGTCAGGGGCATAAAAATGCATGTAAACACACAGACCCAGCCAGAGGTTGAGGAAATTCAAAAGGCTTAAGTTATTAAAAATGCCATAAGCTGTGATTCACAGGGGACCTGTATTAGAAAAACAAGCCTTTATTTAGACCACTCTGCAGGAGAAGCCCTGAGTCCTGAGTGCTATAGTGAAAAAGGAGAACAAAAGCCAAACTAAAGTTTTCGGTAGAAAAATTTTGTATCATGAGATTCTTACTGTCAGAGAAAGCAGCCAAAACATCTACTGAAGGTAGGCCTGCGGCTGATGCTTTATATCTCATTTTAGGATCCATGTGACAGCTGAGTCAGACTATGATTTTAAGAAGATAGAAAATGCAATACTTGTATTGATTTGCTGACGAGCTGTTTTTTTTTTTGCTTCCTGTCTGTTTGATGGACAGACCAATCAGAGTCTGAATAGTAACACTGGCAGTATATGTATGGTCCCGCTGTAAGCAGAGGTGTTTGAGAGAAGTGCCTGGCCTACTGATGAGGCACATCGATTTGAGCGTTTCTGTCATTGTAGCAGCAATGGCTGACCTGAAACATGGCAGTCTATCTGGTACAGGAAATTGGGTATGATGTGTTTTTGCCAATGCACAGTATATTAGACATTAAAGAGGTATCTTCCCACTTCCTCTGTTTTTGTAATAATGTGAAAGAGTTACACAGCTAAATGCTTTGGTCTGTGCCTTTTTGCCTTCACGCTGCTGAACCTTTATTTGAATGGTAGTGTGCTAACAATGCTGTCTCCGTGTGGGTGCATGCGGGTGCTTGCCTTACTTTGTTCTTCCTGGAATAATCAGTTCAGAATTCTAAGACGCACTCTCTCAAACATGCTCCGAAGTTGTACTGCATGTAACCCCTCATATGTATAATTGACAAATTATTGTGTATTTAAGAGTCTCTTTTTGACCTTTACCAGGCAATTAATTCCACACGAAGAGATCCTTGATGACGCAGATCAAGCTCAATTCAGAGCTAGTCGTCAGAAAAGGGCTGCCTAGCAACCAGGTGCCTCAGTCAGAGAAGGTCCAAGGAGGTGCCAAGTTACAGTGTTCAAATACCAATACACATTTTAAGATTCATACAGCCTGGGGTCATATAAGAAACACAGCCTATCTGTTAGCCTGTGTCATTTTTGTCACTTGTCATTATAGAAAAAAAGATTAACAGTTTACTTTTTATTGAATGTTTTTGCATTAATCTGTTGGTAATGTGTATTGGACATGTATTATGGTTTAACAGAAGTGCTTTTATTGTTAATTGTTACATTTTTAGTTACAGTGAATTTTCACTTGTTATAGCTTCCATAGGTTTCCTTAGTAACATCCACACTCTGACTACACTTTTAGAATTGAAGCTGATAATCATCACAGTCCATTTTTAGTTTTCATAGCACCAGAATCATACCAGAACAATGAGCTTTTCCAGGAACTAGAGTCTGTAATTATCTCCAAGTATCTGACCATTCATCTAACCCAAAACTGCACTTAAGGTCCCAAGGCTGCACAATAACCACTATTCACAAAAACAACTATTTGTATATTTCACTTCTAGTTCTCAATCAAGTAGGGCTGTCCAATTAATTGAATTTTAATTGGGATCAAGATCCAGTCATTTCTAATCTCAGTACTATACTTTGCTTTAATTGAGAGGTCTACAGTCCATTTAATTTCCACCATCATTCAAAAAGGGTGGAAGAAAACAAAATGCATTTACTTTTTCAATTTTATGTACAGCTTCAGCATTTTCAAAGAATTATTTCTTCATTTCTCCTCATTACATTCCATAAA